TCTTACTTGAGTGTAATTTCTGACTACTCCACCAACCTTTGCAGGCTATTTTTAAGGTTTCAAAGAAAACAAAAAACTTTTACATGAAGGTAGCTAAACTAAGCTTCATCTAGCGTCGGTCACATTTATCCCGCATTTTTTGGCCGTAAATGAGGTGTTGCAAATTCACTTTGAGGTTTTTTTTAAAATGAAAAAGAAAATATGTGCGGATGTGGTTGTAATAACAAAAAAACAGGAAACTTGTTCAATAATGCTGCATTGATACACAAGCATGAAAATGCAAGGGTTGTTTCTGGCACATCGGTGACCTTAATGGCCTAATTTGTGAGAATGCACATCAAGCTACTGATTTTTAAAGTGCAGTTAATGTTGCATGACTGAGAAAGAAACTGGATCTGAGCTTGAAGGAATAGTTTGTTGAGCGAGGTGGAAAAAGTAAATGCTTCCCAGCAGCTCACATGCAGAGAGGCATAGCCACCTTCAGTTAATGATATAAATTAGAGTAATTTGTATGGGATGGATGTCTGTTAGTTTAGTGACTGATTTCCCTCCTTTCCATCTAAATGTAAATATTTTTCCAGCGAGATCATGTTTTAGCAAATTGACTAAAACTTAGGAAATTGGCATTAGACCTCATTTTACATTTGCTCACAGCAATCTTCATCTGTGCCTTATTTTGCTAATTAATTGTGATCCAATTATTGCTCTACAATTATATAACCTTAGTTCAGTCATTTGAACACCAAGGGAGCTTCTCTGTTGTGAAGCTTGAATCAGTAAAGCGAGTCCATAAATAGTAGTAAATTCCTACTATTGAAAAAAAAAACCCTAAATAGTTCAAATGCCTATATCCATTCACCAAACACTGTTATGGATGTTTATATTATATCACTTATATATCCAACAGACTTGGACCTGTTGTATGCACTACAGTCCATTTACAGACATTTTGTGACAATGGGCTGATGGTCGTTCTCCAAGGATAATCTAGCACCTCCAACAAGGAAAAGGCTTTATAGTTTAAATGAGCATCAGTTTTTAACTATGAGATATTTTCAAAATTTAAGAAAACTGGCAGCTCCTGATCAAGCTATGACCCCGAGTACGTCACAAGAATTTTCCCAAAATAAGTCTGCTCCATCTACTGTTTAATAGCGGTGAGAAAACATCCCACTTCTTCCCCTCATTGCCAACAAAAAAGTAATGAGTATTTATTTCCTTCATGCCTATTGATTGTATGAATAGGAGCAAAGGGATCCATAAACTGTCTCTTTCTCTCATTCTCTCTCCCTCCATTTCCACTGCTTTTTCTTTCTCTCCTTATTTCTCGGTCTGTCTTTATTCTCTGAAACAAATATCAAAAACAAAAGCGTTTTATTATAATAGTTGCACATACAGTCAAACTCAAAAACCGGAAAAGGTATTTTTCTGTTTTTTTCCATGTACATGAAGCTAGAAGTAGTTGAAAATGTATCCAAACAGGCTGCCTCTAAGTGTTTAATGTAAGTGCTACATCTGGGCAGATCCAGAAAATGCTGGAGAAACAATGCAATATATAAATTTTAGCCGGAGAGGACATAAATGTCTTAGTTTCCATCCTGGATGGATGGACAGATATCTCATCCCAACTTGTGCCTCTGTTACAACACATCCGAATCAAATAATTAGATGATTATCAGGACTCTTGTCTACATAGTGAGGAGTTAATTTAGTTGTTTGATTCTGGTGTGTTGCATCAGTAGCACATCTAAAAAAATGCAGGAGAGTGGAGTTTTACACTCATGTCATTTATGGAAGGATGGACGGATGGTCCTAACCAATTTCGGAGTTACCCCAGTAAGCATATGACCGCCAAAAAATGACGTGTAAGTTTTCTAACATTTAATGAACTTGTAAGTATGGACTCTGGATGTTGTTCTTAAAACTTATGCTATTGTCTGCATTGTGTTGTCTCTGTTATTTGAACTGGTTTGACATTAGGAAGCACTTGAATGTGACAAACATGCAAAATAAAAAATAAAAAAGCTAGGAAGGAGGCAAACTCTTTTTAACATTGCATACATAAAGGGATATTTAACTATTTCAGGATTTCTGTGGACTGATTTCTATGAGAACCCTTTGCACGACAAGAGACGAAAATTCACTCACCTCAGAATGCTGCATGCTTCAACAAAGAAAGTGCAGCAGATCCCACCCTGTCATTGGACTAACATGAAAAATATGATCTGACCACTTGGGGACTGATACAGTGGATATAGGGCACATTGTTCAGACACACAAAATGTAAATGGTGACAGCAAAAAAAAAATTCTTGTCATCATGGTTGAGATTTTTACAACCTTCATCCCTTGGTGCAAAATGTAGTAAATGTATATCATGAATGACGCAGAAATGCACTTATTTTCTGTGTCTGGACCTATTTCCAGACTTTAAAAGGATATTATTATTTTTAAAGGACTGCTTGAACTAAATTGTATGACCAGTTATATGTATTTAAATTATAAATTTTATAGAAAAGTTGATCAAAAAGATAAAAATAATAATAATAATAAAAAAACACCTTATCTAAACAATAGAATAAGAAATCCAAAGGGTTTGTAATACATTTCATTTCAATAATGAAACTGAAGTGATTAGGTCATTTACCCACTTTACAAATACAGTAACATAAAAAACAGCAGCAAGCTTATCTTGGTTGCAGCTAGATGCAGCTCTTCACCTTTCAACTGAATTATGTTTGGTTTAAGAAGAACAATGTTGTTCAGACGGACCAACCCATTCTGCAAGCTATCCCTACAGAATCAAAACCTCCATGATCGGCAGGAAAAGAAAAAAACAAACAAAAAAAGGATTAAATCTAACGAACCGGGTCAGAACCGCTTCAAACCCATTAAAAAGAAAACCCAGGCATTGCTGTTGCCCCGGCCACAGCCCCTCCCACACATGTTGCTGCGCACCGTCAGTCAGCCGGCTTAAAGAATCCGTCGCCACGACGACAAATTTTGACTATTTCATTTGTACAAAAACAGAAATAACAATGGAGGCTCTGATAGTTCACCAACTGAGGGTTATAATTTTACTGTATAAATTAAACAATGAAAGAAACTGAAAGAACAAACCTAAATCACCTCCGATGAACAAAGTAAGCAAACATTTTACTTTCTGACAAACAAATGAGATCATTAGGCTTGAAATGAGTCCTGACATGATCACCACAGAAAGACTTTACGGTTTCCATTACATCAATCCTGTTGTTCCCACTGCCATCTGGATTAACAAATGTCAATTATATTACTATTAGCCAGTTTATGGTTGCTGTCTTTCCTTTCTTGATATGATTACACTAGCAGAGCTAAACCCATTCAAGAATTTCTGTTTACACAAACGTACCTAGAAAGTCAATGTTTCTGAATTGTTCTTATTCCTGTTGGTGTCACGGTTAGTTAAAGAAACTTTAACCCTAATTTAGCCACAGTGTTTCCTTTTGAAACGTTGACAGCTGGAGATGGGCAGCAGCAGCACCCTTTGCATACAAAATACTGAATGGATGAATTCAAATTAAAGTTTGTATTACACTGATCACTGAAAAAATGTGGAATATATATTCTGACAGGAGTTTCTTGAATTTAAAGCAACCTATCTGGTATTTTTTGTGTGCTATTTAGCAAGACCCATTAGTAGAAAATAATGCAAACAATAACTGCAGCGGGAAAAGAGCAGCACATTCAGTATTATGCTATTGTTAATATATAATTTTTTGCATACAATGTAATTTTACTATTTAAAAATGTGAGAATAAAGACAATAGCAAATTGTGTAAACTTAAATTGTTGAGATATTTTATCACAAAGGAATATTTTGGAAATGAGACAAAAACACAAATATACATATGTATATATATTTTTCAAATGAAGGCTTAAATAAACTGGAAGAACTAAAAGGAAGAATGTATTGTTTCCTGATTAAAAAAAACAAACTCTTATTGGCTTGTCCAACAACCTCTCAGTTATGACCAACGTTTTAAAGAAAAGTGCTTTATCAGTGAAATAACAAAAGTCTGATTTTACTATACATGTTTAATACGCCACATTCTTCAGAAAAAAAGACAGAGCCACATGATGACACAGTTATATTTAAATATTTACAATTTAAAATTTACAATATAATAGTTATCACAATTCCTACAATTAAATAAGGATTTGGTAAAATGTGTTGCTCACATTAAAGAAATATTCATGGCTTTAAAGAGATGTCATTGGACTAAATGAGGAAAAGAAAATGCAACCAATGTCAATTATAACAATCACTGACTTTATGCAACCTTCTAGCACAAGACCATTCAAGCTTCCTGGGATACTTAAATCTATGATTATTTATTGAGGAATATCTCAACCTAATCCCCAAAAGTTTGATTAACATGATTGCGTCTCACATTCTCTTGTACTTTACCACAGTGCTTTGTCTCACCACCCACAGCTGTTTCAAACTCTCTTCTTTTTTTTTTATGACAGACAAAAAGCCACAGACTGATCCGAATGTTCAGCATAACTTCCATGTTTTCATTGTTGCGTTGTGTTTTTTTACATACAGACCGCATTACAATACTTTCAGATTTTGGGACTACCCACTAAATGATAACCTCAACCAGTAGAGGTGCTGGTCGAAAGGGCGATATTCTTGACATGGAGTCATAAAATAGATTGACTCCAGGCGATTGCACTGGCATGTCCTTGTTTTGGGAACATTTTTCAACAGAACAAAAAAAAAAAAAAAAAAAAAACCCAACAACAACAAAAACCCCCAGTTCAACCACTACTTTATTCTTGCTGATGGTGTAAGACCTACTGAGTGAAAGTTCATCTAGCTAACTCTTAATCTTAGTAAGGTAAAGCAACAGACTTTAGAGGAAACTCGAAAGAAGAGAGATAAAATTTCAAGGGACAGCAAAAAGCCAAGGAGGAGAGAACGTTATGACTTGACTTTATCCTTTAGGATGACAAGCCCACTGCATGGAAATTTTTTTTTTTCATCCTTTAAAGCTGCTAAAGCCATGGTACATCCTTACTTCGAGACACCAGATAGCTGTTGCAGCAGTACTGTAAAAGTTTCCTGATACCTTCAGGGTGGTTATCTTATGTCCCTGCTGTTAGCTTTGCTACAGATATTTGGAGTTCTGAGGTCGCTCCCCAATTTCATGGCACACCAGATAGATTCCACATGGATCAATAAAGGGGCGTGATTCATTTTTATACTAAAGAGCATATATGCAAGCGATCACGGCAATGCGAAGCAGGTGGGTGTCCACATTAGGTTTTAACACAACAGATTTTCAAAGGTGACAGACGGTTTGAAGCACGGAACATTTTGTACGCAAGCTTTAGTTTGTCGCCTTGGTTAGGTCTCGCCTGAGAGGCACAGCACTGAGGGAGCAGTGGCTACCAGAAAGAGGATAGTTGGTTATTACAAGCACTTCAAACGTCTTAGGCTTTAATTATGTAATACATGTTTAATAGATTTGTCATTTAAATGTCTGTATTTAAATGACACTGCATGATGTATGAGTACTTACCTAATTTTTGTGACTATCAGTACCAAAATATCTTGATAAGGACGTCCTTTCCCATTTAAAACATCCTTTAATAAAAGCACTATATACGAAATGTAGTTTGTTATTAAGAACAGTAAAGTGAAAAATAAAACTATGTATGTAGTTTAGCTAAGAAATTAAAGCTTAAGAACAATTCAAGAGTGCCTTGTTTATATTCTACTGATAAACCGTCTTTGCATAATGTCACCAGTCTTCAGGATTTTCAACTGTAACCCTAAAAAAGCTATTAAAGTTTATTATCAACTCATGACTTGCCTAATGATTTTAAAACCTTGATGAAAATATTTTTTTCTTAACTGATTGGAAATTCAAAAATATAAGATTTTACATGACTTTCACATAATTCCACTTCTCTTTTTTAATGAAAGTAGCAAAGGCAAATAAGTTACAGAATCATTATATCCTTTTTCTTTTGTAATATCCAAGGTAAGCACCAAAAACAAACCTTATTAATACATTCATGGTATTGAAGCCAACCACACTTTTTGTTTCTTTTTTATGCTTTTGATTGACTATCCATTTTACAGACTTATACTGCATTTCCTTACTAATGTGCACAACCATTGGGATTCTGTAGCTGAAAAGCATGTCCACTCCAGTAACTCTTCCATATCTTCTGTCTTCTGATAAAAGTATGCCACACAAAAATATGTTTTTGTGTAGCTTTAAAAAGATGTTCGGTAATTTCTGAGGATTCTTCGAAGGCTCTCCTGGTTTTTTTTAAATGCGCCAGTCATGTGCGAGACACTTGCTGCAGAGAGTACCAATGAGGTTCAATAATCAATGATGTCATTTTGCAGAAAAAGATGATGTGTGCTCATCTCTCCATTTGTCTCTCACCGGAGTTTGGTGTTACTGTAAGTGTTACGCTGTAAAGAAATGAGCTTTTCCATGCACAGAGCACGTCTTTCATGTAATGAACCATGCCACATGCTGGGAGGTCCACCCTCTTCGCTCCTGCAGTAGATGTACGCCATTGTGTCTGTGCGACTTTGGATGTGGGTACTGCGAAGGAGGGATCGGCAGTAGAGGCTGATCGTTTCCACCCTGCGAAGTATCAGGTTTGCTTTCCTACAAAGACATTAGGAAAAACAAAAGCAGACAAATAATTTTTGAAGAACAAGCAATTGTTCCATTTTCATGATATGTAGACACAACTGAGCAATGTATATAGTTAAAAAGAGAATAAGAAAGAAAGAAAAAAGTACCAAAGTCTAACGCACAAAAACCAAGACTAACAGTTATTGAATATGTTCTTAATACTTAATTTGTTTGTTTGTTATTAATATGTTGTTCTCTAGTCCTACACTCGCTTGAATTTAGTTCTGTTATAATAGGCTGGTAGATCTTCACTTCATGATGTATTTATTTTTTAAGATAAATATCATGACTTCCTAACAAAAAGTGTTCCTTGAAGGAACTGCAGGCCTCAGAACTGAAGCACTAAAATCAACTTCAATTGCATTACCAGATTGTTACATAGTTTGTTACATAGGGTAAATCTCTGCTAAAAACTCGCACACACTGCCACTACAGCATAGTGTTGTTATTTATTTAATGCTGTATTACTTTTTACTACAATCTTAAAGGCAGGCCAGAACATAAATAAATTTCCAAAGCCTTATAATTATATTAATATTTATATTTTTTACCATTTTTCATTGTTGCTTGAAGTTGAATTTAACGATTGTCTCAGTTTCAGCCAACAATAACATAATCCAAATAAATTCATACAGTGTTGCAAATATTTATGAATTACAATAATAGTCAAATCACAAGTCGGCATAAACATAAATGAATGGTTTCACTTCTAAAGAATAAAACAACGAAGTGCCAGATTTAGAAACTTTGAAGGGCCGATTATGATCAAGAATGCTGGAATAATTTACAGAAGACTGACATCCAGCCTTCTGTCTTTCTGAATCGACAGCCAGTTATGCTCAAAACCTGAACTTTAATGCAAAATTGCTCTGTGTAAAACAACAAGGAATGTATCTGGGTCACAGTTCAGGAGCTTAGAGATCAGCAGAATTAAATATATACAAAACCACTCGACACAAATGATGTAAAGCCTTCTTCAAGGCTTTTTAAGCTCGTAGGGATATCAAAAAGTACAGACACAAGGGAAAGGCCCAAAATACAAGTATTTTGAAAAGCAGCGTCTGCTGAACATCAACATCTGTCTTCAGTTAAGCAAGCAGTACAGACATCCTTTTCACTTATTTGAAATGTGTGCGTGTGTGTGTGGGGCATTTTTCATTTCCCTTGAATTCTTATGTCTGAAGTAACAGAATTCCAAGCTCATTATCAAGGGAAGCCTGGAATTACAAGCCCTACAGGCAGAATATATGCATTTGTTGTTGATAAGAAACAAAATTACTATTAAATTAGGACTAAGAACTGAAGAAAGGATGTTTCTGTTGCTCATCTTACTTGAGGGCAGTCTAATTTCTGGCTAAAACATATGTGAAATTAGGATTAATGACGAAGAAGTTGAAGATCTTTGTCAAAAATACAGCAAAGAAATACTGTTAGCATGTATAACAGTGCAAATCACTAAATGGGCAGTAAGTTGGAACAATGGTGGACATATGTGGGGGGGCTCCTGGGATTCCTGCAGGAGTGCTGACGGTGCTTACGTTCTTCTTGGCCATTCTTTTACCTTTTAAAATGCACCTCCAAAGGAGCCTTCTTGTAAATTACTGCAAGGAGGCTAAACCCTGCCAACTTAAGGCAGTAAATAATCCACAGTCACTCACCCAAAAGCAACCTCCTATCCCAACCCCCATCTCCCCAATTCCACCCTCTTTGCCCACACACATACAAAATGCATACCATTCAACACGTCCACATTCTAGGTCCCAATGGCCAACTTGTGTCTCCCACCCCCGTCACCAATCAGAGAGAAGCATAAACTTCCTACAGACCAAAGTTATTCCTCAATTATTATATTATTTATAGCTGGAAAAGAGCACTTCCAGGCAGTGGGGGTGGACAAACCAAAACATTGGGCTGTAACCTAAGATTTTGTATTGCTATCTTGAGTCCTGGAGCAACTCCTTTCTCAGACTCGCATGCATAAATGTTTTTGTTTTAAACATTTTTTTTCCCCTCTAAACTCATTGTTTATACTTCATTCCACAAAGTTTTTTTTTTCAGTCACTGAGCCTCTTTTTGTTCTCATGGTGTTGTAACGTTTCACTGTCTGTTCAAACTTCCAATGAGGGTGTCCCTGTCAAGAAGGTCACGGGGACGTTAGGGTGGTATATTATGGTTATAAATTAACTATTTTATAGGAAAGAAGAGGAAATGGACGTGGAAGTCAAGTTAGTGTTAGTCAAGTATCACATTTACTGTTTGGCTTGGCTGTCAAATGCTGTTTTGGTATTGCCATAGTGATTGTGGAGTGACTGCAGCCCTAGATTTTTAATGGTGACCTGGCTCGCTCCCCTTTCCGGAGAAGCAATGCTGGAATTATGTTTTTTTTTAATATTTTTTTTATTCCTTTTGTTTTGGGATTTTATAGGGAGGGTAGATGGGTGAATGATCTGGATCTGACAGCTGGCTCAGGAGGCAGCGCCTCTTACGCAAGAAGCCTCAGAGTGACGGTAACTGACAAACAGCACAAAGTCATCAGATATGACGAAAAGATGACCTAAGTACCAGCAGATTGGGGAAAAAAAAGTTTGTTTACTTCTGAACAGGACACAATATGTTCTCCATCAACTCTTTGGGTAGCTTTAGAATGATTTCAAAAAGCAAAAGTTTTTAAAGCTCACTGTCTTCTCACCTGGGGCCAAGCTCATCCTCACTCCGCCATACAAAGTCCCCAAACTTCTCATAGTGGGAATTGTAGTGGTGCTGGACTCTATAGAGCAGCGGAGGGGCAATCTCCATCAGCATATTGTAGGCCATCTGCTGTTCCTTTCCACTGGTGTAGCCGTTGTATAAGTTGTACACCCTGTCGGCTATTTCTGTTATGATGGAAAAGAGTTCGAGAGGTACAAAGGAATAAGAACAGTGAAAAATCAATTAATAGGTAGTATTAGTTGTCAGCTAACAACCAGTCAAAATTAGCTGTATTTGAAGTATTTTTGCTGTTTGTGTGATGAAATAAACTTTTTGTAACACCTTTCGACTGTGAAAAAAATATGTTCTACCCTATTAAGTCAGTAAAGAAAAACATAAATTACTACCAAGAAACGTCAACTACATAACTCTCTTAAAAAACGTGATGAAGTCCTGCTCAAAACTGCAACACATTCAATAACTTTCAGGATTTCTGCTCAAAATTGAAATGGAGTTGGTTTACTTGATGTCATTGCTGTTATTAACGTCTCTCACAGATGTCCACTGATGGATATTGGCTGCAGCATTTGCAAGGGTTTTAGTTTGAGGACGGACATGTTACCTGAAAAGCACCCGTATTTTTTTATTTTTTTTTTGAGAGGTTTACAATGGACAGATTGTATCCAACCTTGGTGTGGGGAGCCATCAGTCGATGCTTGTGCAGTTCTATAAAAGCGGACACATTTACAGAGAGAAAACGTATTGCCTTTGCCATGAGGTCATTCAAGTGTGTATTCCTGACAGAAACTATCACAAAATCCAGTTTTAGACTCAGATTGTGTGCAGTTTTTAATCACCATTTTGCTCTATTTGTTTTATGGCTTGATTCTGCTTTGAGCTCCTCTATGCATGTCAAAGCTTTTCTTACAACTTGATTATGATCCAGCAGCATGAAATAGAAATGCTCAAAACTTCTGCCACGGTCTGACAGAAAAAAAAAAATATGCAGAACAGAAGTGAGCATCGCACATTCTTGATGGAGTATAAAGTTGGAGGAACATCGTGAGAACAACTTGGATGTTCTGGTAAAATGTTATTTTGGAAGGAAGGCTACTGAAGAATGTTGGAAATTAATGCTCAAATAAATATTAAAGCTTTTGACTTCAAAAGCTGCAAAGATACCTTCTGCACGACTGTCATCCACCACCGGGCAAGATGTGCGTACAGAGACAAAGCTCGACTCTGTGTGACTGCCTCGATTATCCACTGCAGCAAGGGTAAACCTTTAAAAAAAACAACAAAAAAAACAAATTGTATTATTTGCTAATAAAATTCCATTACCTAACAATTTGTTCTCTACCATCTGGTGCTATTTGTGTTAACTCATAAACACATTTGATTTTAATGTAACTAAATAAAATACTTAGTCACCTAGTTAATTAAAACAAACTCATAGAAATAAAAGTTCTATGAGTTTTAATGCAGTTTATTGCTTCATTAAATTAACTGAAACTCACTGTGATAATTGAATTTCCATCCCAGGCAATCCATTGTATATCTTATATGCACAATCCAGAGAACAAAACATGTTTCTTAAATTATTTTTTTATTTTATTTCTAGACTCATACTCCACGTCACAGGAGCTCATTCGTGCATCGGAAATAAAGGCTGCAACAATAGACCCTGCTAATTGGCTAAATCCTTTAACTGATCACCTCAGAAGATAGTTAATTCACTTGTTTACTATTACAAGTGTAATTTAAATTCTTTGTGAGTCTATGTTATTTATATTCACTGACAAAAGCCAAAGACAAACCAAAATCTTTAACAAGGAAAATATTTTTTTCATAGCACTATAACAGATAGTACTGCTGTAGCATTTAATTGGAAAAATAGGTTGCCAAGGTCTTTTGACTACCATATTCCATTTTGCGATGCCATAATTATTGCACTTTTGTGGTGAAGCTTGTTCTGTTAGTGAAGATTTACTGGAAATAGAGAGAATGAGAGAGACCGAGGGAGGGAGGGAGGGTTAGTCGGTTGGCGGGGGGTAGAAAAATCATGTTTTGGTCCACATTAACTGTTTTTCCTACTACAGGGAAAGTTTAGAAAAAGTGAATTAAGTCTTGAGAAATATTTATAACTGGTTAAGAAAAACTGTAAGCTTTCAGCAATATTTCCACAGAGTAACCACTGTAAAAACAGCAGAAGGACACAAAGGAAACCACAAAACAAAGTGAGACAAAATGAGCAACTCGCATGGCATTCCTATCCTAAAAACTGCTCTGAAATGTACAAAAAAAAAATAAATAAAAAATTAAGATATTATTGTTTATGCAAAAGCCACTTTGCCAAAAAACGCCATTCTCATTTTGATGTCTCTTGCAATCTGTTCCAATGCTATCAAATGATTGTTTTGCTTGTAACATGACCTGTTTGGGCATTGCTTGCATAGTTTGTCTGGTCTTGTTATTCAGCAGGGTGGATGTGGTATTCCCCAAGAACCTCAAGAAAGACGTGCAGACCTCACTGGCTCCTCTGCCTGGCAAAACAATGCCAGTATGTTACAGCCACGCTGTTTAAATTATACAGCCACATAACGTGCAGATGGATACACTGAAGTGGGAGAAACGAGCAAAGCAGCAAGATGACATGTCAGAGTTTTTATGAAAAGAGTTTTGGGTTATGCTTGGTCACTTGAAGAGTTGTGTGTATAAGCTTGCTGCCTCCTTTCAAATCCCACAAAACAGTTTTGCTATGGTTTGTAAAAATGAATTAAGCTTCTCAAGATTTTTTTTTTCCCCACTCAATACCAGAATGCAATGTTTTGATTTTGGTTCTGAAATTCAGCCATATGACTTTCTTGACATTATGTGTCTTATTTATGCAACGTAAAATAAGTTGTTAAAATGGGTAGAATGAACATAGGATACCAATTTATAAACAGGCACTCTATTATTATGAAGACAGCCTGGGAGAAGAATAGGTACAATCACAGTCAGGCCTGTCCTGAGAATGTAAAATCAAGGAAAGCTGAAAAGATCTACGACCACTAGGATGACCATTCACCCACAGAGAGATACACTTTGCTTTGTCAGCGCTGTAGCTAATCTCTGTCTATCATTTTTTTTTTTGCTTCATTGTCTCGTTCTTTAGCCTCCATGGGAAATCACTGATTTTGTCAATTAGCTATTGATTAAAGATAATTGGCAATTGTGTTAATTGGCAATACTACCAGTAAAGAGATAACTAAATAAGAATCACAAAGTCGGAGTGATCAGATACCTGAGACAAAAGGAATGGGAAAATGTTAAGTGATAGTCTGGGAAGATCAATTAGAACATTATGTCTGGGATGCCAAGAGAAGCCAAGATGGTTGGGGATGCCTTTTCCATTACATCAGCTTTTGGACACACATCAGTCGAGGTCGTCAGCAAATTAATCAAAGCAGAAAGCTGTATCTCTTTGCCCAAAGAATTTCTGTCAGCTTACACTTAGAGTTTATCTCATGACTCCGAAATCATCCAATCTGAGTGGCATCGGACTTTCGTCATTGCTCTAAATAAGACTGCCTTGCCTCTCACTGTAAATTAGAAAAGATGGCCCGGCTCTGAATGAGCTCAGCTGTGCATCAGCAAGGCTCAGCAGGAAAAAAGTAATAATGACCGCACTCCATTAAAAGTCACTGACGCTGAAATAACCAAGACTTCTGGAAATGGACTTTTGGGAAAATCCACTAAACTGCCATTGCAGTGATACTTTTGAAATACAAATGGCCGTTACAGTGACCATCCCTTTTGGCACACAGGGACTGGAATGTGCCATCGAAAGAAATTTGAAGTAAATGACATTTAAGGAATAGTGAGTGAAAAATCAATAAACTAATAAAGGAATTTATGCTTCCAGTCTTGTTGGTCAGACAGAGACATGCAGTTGCAGAAAAATGATCAACAGCTAAAAAAAAATAATAATAAAAATTCATATTACCACTGGATATTGCTGTAAATTCTTGTTCCTTATCCTTATAGCAAATTCTATGTTCAGCTCATTTGAAGAAATCTTAAAATTTGTTGTTGCTGACTATTACCAACCATTTTCCCACAAATTCATCCCTCTCTTCTAGGTTTTCTCCTGAGCTACGTTTACTCTAGTTTTGAAATCAGTTCTCATTGACATAGTCATGTGTCTTATGCAGAAATGCCCTGAGACAGCAATGTTGATATTTCACTTCAAAGTCCACTTCCACTCTTTGTTTTTTGTTCCCACAGGCAACATAAATACTTTTGAGGAACATTAATCAAACGTGTTGAGAAATTATGTACATGTGTACAATTCTTCACAAAATACCAACAAAGATTTACAAGTGGCTTACAGGAGATCCTTACCAGTATTTTGGCCCAATTACAAATAGTTAAAAGAGAAGTATTATGTGTTTTCCAGGGACACAGTGTCATTTTATAATCAAATCAAGTAACCATGTTGCCTTCAGTTGTTATAAAAGTACTCTGTATATCCAACAAGATGTAAAAGAAATTTGACTTTGCAATTTAGTGCCTTGAAATTGGTCCTGTCTCTTTAAAGCCTTGAACAACGTATGTGGAGGAATTGAACTGAGATGTAGCTCATTTGATAAGCTATAGAAATACATAGTTTCACCAAGTGTTTACTAATTTATAAGACAAAACAAGTTGCTTTTCAGCAAGCTGTAAGAGCTTATTTTAGGTTAACAATTTTTTAATATTTGTCAAAAAGTAGTAATTCTGCAGCAGATGATTTCATTCATAGCAAGACATTTTCCCATATTATTGGTGAAATAATCTTTTTCGTCAATATTAAGGAATTGTTTACTCAAAACAAGCTCCTAAATCTAACTGAAAAGTTCCTTGTATGTCAGTTTTGTCTTATTTCAAGTGAATGTGCACTAGCAAATAGACAAAGATACTCTGTAAGACTTTGTTTTTTTCCAAGTGTGGCTGCCATGGGAGAGTCAAGAATTTTGCCAACATGCATGAAAGAACTATAGCTACAATCCAGAATTGTTTTTAAAGAGGGAATTACATTATAAGATGACGCAATCATGTTATAATACCAAAAGAAAGTTAAAGGTTTAGCAAGAGTGAGTTTGGCCTTGATGGTATTTAATGTTTACCAAAGCATTTTGATCTTTTTTTCTCTGTTAGTTAAACTGATGAGGAGAAACATAATACTGGTATTACCTTATGAACTATTGAAGTATTAAAACAAGTAGCACAGCATGTACACTCATAAAAAAGCAGCATGATAATAACAAAGAAAACATGTTTTATCCACGTGCTGTTCATAACTCTTGCCTTGCTTGTGTGGTCATGTGATAACACTAAAGAATATTATTTTATTGTTCCCGTTTTGTTTTGCTCACAGAAAACTTTAGGGTCAAAGGAGCTTGCATTTATGAACCAATGTATAGTGAATACAAGTTTAGGTTTTATCAGGCTTTTGATTAAAACAAATAGCGCTGGCTTTATAGACGTCTCCTGTGACATGATTTTGATGCAAGTTCTTCTCTTATCAGGAAAAAAAAAACATCACTGTGGAGAATGCCTAAACATCGATACCAATGCTACAAAGCTAGATTTTAGTAAGAAGTTAGAAACCACTTTTTTGGAGGTTTTCACAAGTGGAAGCCTGATTTCTGCATTGGACTTTGTGGTACAATGGGTCGCTGTTCTCCCATAGTCCTTCAGATGTAGTTAAAATTTGATGGGAGATTGTGAATTTAAAATAACTTTAAAAAGCTGTGTAGCTGGAAAATGAAGACATTTATCTTCTATTATATTTGAATTTTCAACAGCAGAAAAAAATATTTTTTGTAGATCTTCTCCGTCGGTGGCATCAAAACCCATAAATCTCAATTCAAATTTGCAATTACTCACAAATACAAGCCATAAGGCTTCTGGAAAAAATAAAATAAAAGATTTTTGTTCAATAATTTTTAGTTAGATAATCAATTAAGTTTATTCAGCAATAAACTGTTTTACATTCTGAAAATATAAAGAAAAAACTTAATGAACACATCATAGAGTCAACAGTTGTAAAACTAAAAACAGACATTTTGCTGCACATAATATAGCTCAGACTTTTTGTCAAGAGCCATGATAAAAATATTTGATACACATCAAATATGTTGGTCAATGTTCTGTTTATTATTATTCAAAAGCAACTCTAAGCAAGTGATTTTTTCAGCCTTGATTTAAAGGAACTCAGTGTTCCATCTGTTTTGCAATTTTCTTGAAGTTTGTTCCAGTTTTGAGGTGCACAGAAGCTGAATGCTATTCGCTCCATGTTTGGTTCTGGGGATGCAGAGCAGACCAGAACCAGGAGATCTGAATGGTCCGGAAGATTGATAAAACAACAGAAAATCTTTAATGTATTTTGGTGCTAAAAATACCAAAATACATTAAAATACTTGCGTTAGTTTGTAAACCAACACAAGTATTTTAAAGTCTATACATAGACAGGGAACTACGTTTGTATTAGTTAGGATTGTATAAACTCAACAATACTACACTAAGTGTCAGGCATGGTGGTGGTTGCATTATGTTAACTGTCAGTTTTGCCCAGCCTAGATGGAAAACAAAGATGGAAGGGTACCACCAAATTCTTAACTTTATGTCACTTCAACCTTTTAGGTCCATTGATCTCAAACAATAGTACAAATACCATTTGTGGTACCAAGTTTGCTTTCAGTGGTACTTGGAAAAAGTTGTGCTGTCAACCATTTATAAGTTCAATATAAGGTTGTTTAACTGATGTAGATAATAATCCAGATCCAACAATGAAAAATATATGTAGTTAATTAAAGAAGTATTCACTTCAAAGTGAAATGGAGAATGGAGTATATTTCAGGAACTCCAATGATCAACATAAATTTACAACAGCTAAAAACAAGTGCTGTTGGATACTTATTTAATTGTAAGATACCACTGTGCATCTGGGAATGAGATCAAATCTGACTTATATTTGTTTTGCAGGCAGAGAAACTAGAAGTATATGGTTACTGCTGTGCTGTGTATAAAGCGTGGCCTTATTAACGATATAAAGTAATAATGAGTTTATATGCAAATTATGTATACAACAATAATGGAAAGTTCACTAACAGAGGTTGCAAAGAATTCTGTGTGAGAAAGGTTTAATGAGTGCAAATAAAATGTTTATTACTGTGGTCAGTAATACACAGCCATATTAGATTGTGAGGTCAGGGTTGGTTCCAATGCATTTTTTTTCAATGGAATGCTAAACTAAATCATGCCCTTAAACCAACCATGTTGTTCTACTGGATAAGAATAAACTGCTTTCTTGTTTGGTTCTCTGTGAAGAAAAACACAACAAATTAAAAATATTTAAGTGCTGTTGTGTTGCTGTTCTAAAGTCTATAAATATGTTGTTATATGGAAACCTCAGTATTTTCCGAGGTGTTACTTATGATAAAAAAGTTTGACAACTATCTAGACAGTTGAAAGATGAAAATATCTCAGTGTTACAACATAATAGTGATTCCAACTTTGTGTCAAACCTGGTTATAGAATAGATGTGGATGCAAGATGTTGGAGACAAAATAGAACTTCAAATTGTTTTACAAGGAAATAATCATAATCAAAGAGGCATGTTATGTAAAACCAAAATGGACTGAGAACAGACAAGAGTAAACCATGTACCAGGTGTGGACTATCCATCGGCACAACAGGCCATGCTCAGGGAGTCAATTCTCATCTCTTGGCCGGTCTCGGGCTGTCGTAATTTTAACAAAAAAGTATATCATAAATAATTGTTGTCAACCTTCTTGGTTGACGATTGGTTCATCCTGTTTGTTCATTTTCTTGAAGGACATTTAACTAATCCAATAAAATCTCTGAACCCTCCTTGTCCAACCCCCTCTCCTGTTCCACCTAAGTGATCGAATTTTGCTGACTGGAGTTAGAGAGACATGAGTAGTGATTGACAAACCACAAAAGTGCAATAGGGGGCAGAAAACCTGTGAGGAAAAAAGGCTAAAAAGCCCAAAAGTGGAAGGACCAATATGTGCCAAAATAATAAATATGTTTGCTATTGGCATTATAAGCTCAACTATGCACCAGGTTCAGGAATGAAGGAGCAGAAGTTTGGAGATTCATCAAAGGAGAATGAAAAGAGAGATGTGATCAAGAAACAGATTAGGAAAGTTGTCAAATTAGTTTGTCAACACTAAAAGAGGTAGCCAAAATGTTCATGAATAGACGTTTTATGAATGGAGAAGAGACGATGTGAGAGAGAGAGTGAGATAATGGTGGGTGGTGGTGCTCATGGTGTTGGTGGGGGGGATTCGAATGCAGTCAGAAAGACAATGAAATGACACCAAGGCTCACACAGTAAAAATATTTTGGGATGGATATGAAAAATTGTAAATTAAAACAACTAAAAATGTAAAAAAATAAAAAACCTTTAAGCACATCTTCCCTAAATAGCAGCTGGGGAAATTGTAGCCAAAAGTGCAGAAATACTCAACATAGGAAATTATTACAAGACTTATTTTAATCAGTCAGACTTAAAATATGGATAATAATGTTGGCCTGTACAGTCATGTATCATTTGTGTATTTGTTATGACTTACAGTTATTATCGCATAATATTAATGAAACATTGTTTTAGGCAAATGAATGCTTTATCACTGGTATCCAGAAATATGAACCAAGTGAAATTATCTTTGTTCTTCATCGCATAAAGAGACATTTCAATGAGTAGCTCTTTATTTTCTATGGATATGTTGTCTTTAAATTAACATAATTGTGTATTTAATAAAACACTGAAATAACATCTTTAGTGATGTTTCTTTGACCTTCACATTCACTTCCAGAAGGGCCAGGGCCATTTTTTCATCCCCTGCCATGTTCTGTACATACTGAGACATATATTGACTGGTGTTATTTACCAAAGTAAATCAGAGAGTACTGGCATAAAAGACAATTTTATAGAACTCCTGTCTCAGCTTTACACTTTCCAACAGAAAGGCCTTTGCTACACCAAAGTCGTGATTTTCATTGCAGTGCTTGTTAGGGGGAACAGAATGAGCTCCAGTGTACACGATTATGGTTTCCTAAAGATTTCAGTTGTGGCTGTTTCTTGCGTAAAGACATTGAAACTGTTTCAAAACAAACCGAGGCTATAATGCACCAAGACACTGTGAAACAAAACCTGAGAAGACAAGCAAAGTTGAGATGCAATTGTGTTTCATGTGTCCAGTGACAGCCACAACAACATCTGGGTCTTGTCTGCTTCCCTCATAGTTGTTGGTACTTTAGCTTAATTTCAGAACATAGTGGGGACAAATAGTACTCAAGAGAAAGGCAAATCAGAGACCAACCAAAAGCCTGCATTGACCCTTCTAAGTAGCATATTCTTGTATAATAAACATAAAAATAAAAATTAATACTACATTGTACTCTTAATTCTTGTTGACAGTGATTTATAAACTAGCTGTATCAGCCTTATGGTAATTCTTGAGCTTTGTGGTGCAGTCTAAAGTACATCATATTGCACAGGGCTCTTAAAACAGACAAAGGCCTAGATATTTGCTGATTACAGCTTTTTTCAAATTACTGCAGCTGATGGACTGTCATCTTTATTTATTTTGTAATTCATCATGGCAAAAACAAGCTTGGCTTAAATGATCACTTTTCAATTTCCTCCTGAATTACTCTCTTCTATTCTTCAATAGTTTTTTTTAGCAAGTTGTTTTGCATTTTTATGTATTTTTTTATGACAGGCCTTTTCAAATTGTGGTCTATGCCTCCCCCACCCTGCCGGGGGGGCACCGGAGCCCAACATGAGAAAGACATTTAAAAACAGTAGCAACTCTAAACATTTTAGCCAACTTCACCAAGCTTATGCCAGAAACACAATGGATAGATATTTCATGTGTAAAATTATAGTGAGTAAAGAGACAGAGTCAGGGTCAAGCAAAGTAAAAAGAAGGCTGTATTACCATGATTTTAATTTGAGATTTTTATGGGCTGGATTTAAAGATGTTCCACTGCCACAGTCTTTTCTAATTAACACCACCATTTAACAAGGACCCTTCTATATTCACTTAAACTTCTGACAAAAGAGAACATAAAAGAACGCAAGTATCGACCACGTTCAGACTATGGATGCTTTCTGGCTTAACTCAACCCAGCTGTGGGTCAGGAGAAGGGAAGCAAATTCACTCTTTTGAAACAAAATAACATTTGCAAAAGGAAAAGTATAAAACTAGGAAAGAAAGTGGTGTGAAAGTGGCCTGTTTAGGTAAGCTTGGCAATAATGACACAAAATAATCCAAGCAGATTCCATACCTGTCTACTCTTGTTTTGGGGTTAGGGCTGCCGGTGATGCTTGTCTCTAGTGGTCAATAGTTAAGAGGTAGAATACACCTGGAATATGTTTCCAGTCAGTCACAGACCCACCTCAGAGGTATTCAATGAAGTCAAATGATTACCTAACTATTCAGGCTGACTATTTGAAGGAGAAAAAGGTTTTAAAATCCTAACAGCTTTATTTATTTTCTGTCCTGTTTACACTGATGGCAGGAAAAAAAGTCAATTTAGACAATGTAAAAATCTAGTTTTTGTGACGCTTGATGCATACCAATATTTTTGAAGGTTTTGGACTAAAGTCACAATATTTTTGTAGTATTATTTCTACCTTTTAAAGTTAATAATGAGATGGCGGAAAATTCAAATTCAATTCCCCTCATCTGTTTTTGCAAGTGAGCTTAATTTGAGAAAGTTTTCAAATGTGTCATTTATGCCTGGCCTAACCGGTGATTTATGACCACCAAGAGTCAGTTTAACAGAAGTTTCCTCTTCAGCCAGGGCTTATGCAGTATATGTTTTAAGACATTAAGTTATTATATTGCAGGTGAATAACAAATAAATCAACTGATTAATAGATGACAGTGCATGTTAAACAACATTCACAACATTATTTTTTATTTTGTTACAATTTTCTCCAACCTGGCACAAAGGAGGGGACAGTGAACATCATTGCAGCTGAATAGGTCTGCATTATTTGCCAAAGCCTAAAGGCATGTATAGACTTACCTGTACAGACTGTCAGGTTCCAGGCACTTGAAGACAACGGAATAGATCACAGACTGGGGGTGATCTCCGGTCCTTTTTCCCGCAACGACACAAGACGAGCTCAAGCCAGAGAATACATCATCCTTCAAGCTCAGTACCTCACCTGGTAGAGAAATAGGATGAGAAAGAATCTTTTAAATTAAATGATGAATGAATACAGTTTCAAAAATGTACAAATAAGTTAATTGACTTTCCCTATGTTGCTTAATCAGGTTTCAAAAGTAACTTAGTTTTAATGAATGCAGCAGGTTTTAGCATTTAGACACAAACAAGTACCAGACACAAGAGTTATTCTATGTTTAGTCTTGTAGCTGTTTTCTTCATATCAATTGTACCATTTCCCTCTGTTTTTGTATGTTTTGTCTCAGCTTGGTCCTGTGGGAGCTATATGAGCAGCAGCAAACCTAAGGCTAAATTAAACATGACATGAAACCCCTGCACAAAACATTATAGATTCTGAAAAAAAAATGAAAAAAAAACAATATTTCTTTCCTTTACAGACACATACACTGTACTGTTACAATGACATCCCACCAAGCACACTGGTGTCTCACAAAACAGTGCTGTGTAAGCTGTGAAATATTTTTCTTGTCAGCTTACAGGAAAGGCAAGCAACGAACAGTTGTTCATTCAGACACTGACTCTCACAACACCAGTTTCCAGCACTCACAGGGCTGGTGGAAAAAAAGAGAGACCTGTCAAAATAGTTTAAAGTACTCAAATGGTTGGATTTCCAGCTATTTCTACATGAGGTAAAGGGCAGCTTCGTTTTAGCTTATGATACATGGGCCAACTTATAAACACATGGAGTAAGTCTGGCTGGTGGGGCACAAGGGGATGGTAAGAAAAGGTTGCAAAAGGAAGGGAAAAAGAGTTACACAAATGAATGAGTTGACCTTTTTACAGAAAGAGCTTTGTATACAGGAAGTTGCCCCTGAACACCTTCCAAAGCTGTGGCAGGGTTACTCTTTCAAAGAACCCACCTTTTACAGACGGTGGATTTACTTAGATGGATTTTAAACTTTTCACAACTCTAAAATAAGATGTATATGTAAGACATGGAATTTTGGTCTCATGCTAAATTAAGATTCAGTCCACCCTGTGAATATATAGAGTATGTACATTTAGAACCCTGAATATGATGTGACTGATCCCCGTGCTGCACTTTTACATTTATCTGGTGTATGGAAATATGCTTCTAGAGGTAAATAGCATCACCTTTCCATATATTTTTTTATTGTAGCATCCAAAGTGTGATCTCAAATTATTTCTTAGTTTTTTATGTTTTTTTTATGTTTGTTTGTTTTATCATTCTCTTTTACATGAGCATTACTACTTGGAAATGCCTTATGTACTGCATATAAGTCACTGCTACAAAATTTATCTTAGTGCTACGGAAATATCATGGCAACCTGATGATAATGTTGTTCAACCTAGTGCTACACTATGCTGACACTCTGTCTGCATCATTAAGAAATAATGTCTGTTGGGTTATTTAATAACATAAAATTCTAAGAACCAAAGTATTTGTATTACTAAGAAGAATATTTCAGTTTTAATTCAATGTCAACAGATGCCATCACTTGTTTATGTACACTTCTAGGGTAGTGCATCACTAAATACGGTATTTAGAGTACTGTCAATCTTTAACTGAAAATATGGCAAATGACCATTTAACCAATCACATCTGACACAGTATGACTATTGTAGAGGGCATATTAAAGCCAGGTCTGAAATGCCAGAGTTGAAATCTGCTGCTGTTACACTTTATATTCACTGCCTTAGGTAATTATAGAGATGATTTGTCAAGTAGGTATAAAGTTGCTGCTGGTCACTGGTTCTATAATAATATAACTGAGTTGTGTTGTTGACTCAAAAAGTTAAGAGGCTTTTAGAGGGCCAAGTCTTTATTGAGGAACTGCATTGTAAAAATCCCTTCAGAGAACTCAATCACAGTGCAAGTGATGTCAAAAGCATCCAGTGACCAGAAAGCTAATATTTATTGCCAGCCAAATCGAACCAAGTCAAGAAAACTTTAAAAACAGCACTTTATAAAGCACTTTAAAAACAGCAGGCACGAACTAAAGTACTGAACAAAAAGTACTTTTCTATGAACTTTTTGTTCAGTACTTATACCCACCAAAAAAGTACATTCTGTTCAAGATATTAGAGTTTTATATCCAATTTTGTTGTATGCTAAAAATATTACAATGTAAAATAAATAAACTGATCAATATATAAACAAAATCAAAGAAAAAAAGTTGAAACAAGAAAATATTACAAACAAGAAAAAATCTAAATAAAATTAATAATTTATACTGGGTCAAAAACCAAAGAGGAAAGGGGTGCCTTAAGGGCAGATTCACAAATGGCTGGAGAAGAGACTTTTATAAATTGCAATGGGAAAGTGTTCCATAATTCAAGAGCTGCAGTGGCAAAAGCCTGATCTCCCCTGAGCTTTTGCCATGTCCTTGGCACCTCCATAAGCAGCTGGTCAGCTGATCTGACTGACCAAGAAAGGGGGTGCAGGTGCAATAGCTCATACATACAAGACTAAAGACTTAAAAGCAAAAGATATTTAAAATGAGTGTTAAAAATAGTCTGTTGATTTGAAAAATTTTACAGGTATTTTCACAATTTAACATAATATATCAAGTTGTTAAATAATATGCCATATGGCTCTCCAAATGAGGACGCTCCTTGATTTGACATTTTTTGTCAAACAAAGTTCCAAATTTCTCCCATATTCTTTCACTTCATTCAACCACATTGCAAAAAAAAGACAATGAAAATCTTGTCCTGGAGTTGGTGTCTGTTTTTATTGTCTTTTTTTGTAATGCAGTTGAATGAAATGGAAGAATTTCAGATACATTTTGAACCTTGTTTTCGAAAGAAAAATGCATTTTTAAAGGTAATTTTCTACGTTCTGACTGTTAATGTTAATGGCTGTGCTATTATAATGCAGAAACAGGCAGTCTCTGTCCCAGACAGTACACTATTGAAACTCTGTATTAGTCTGCACTATTTCAATGGCCGTGCAAAGATCCGGAAGGTAAGTAGTCAAGATAACTACTCTAATATGGATGATGCAGACAATGACAAACAATGAAAGTGTTGCAGGTCAGGATGTGCATTAATCAGCAGATGACTGGTTGTAATTTATTTTCTCTGTTGCACATTTATCGCAATGATATATGGCACAATAAAGCTTGATTGTTCTGATCGATCATCCCAATAAGAAGGTAGTTCTTGCTCTCGCTGGCAAAAAGTTTATATGTATTTCAGTTACGGTCTCACCACTTATGTGATGTTTTTTTCTTTTCCAATGAGAGGTCTAAGAGAAGTTTCCATAGTGTTTAATGTGGCTATTCTTGCCTTCCATCATCTCGTATAACAGAATGAATACTTTATTTTATTATAAAGTTGGATATGGTAAAGGTTTGGAAGCCGCAATATAACCTCTAGTGATCTAATATTTGTCTTATCTGTGACGTGGCTTGGTATTGAACAAAATGGATACTGTTCAGAATTCATTTCACTTACAAAATAATCCATGCAAAAGTTTTATCATATTGTTTTGTTGAGATCTGACTTCAAATCCAAGTCATAATACCTTGTATAGATATGAGCTTTGTGTCAGGTGTCCTGTGTGTGAGTGTGTGTGTGTGTGAGTGCGAGTGTCACATCTCTTCCAGCGAGGATCTTGGTGAAGAGCCTGGGGAGCCTTCACAGATGGAGTCCATCAGCCTCATCAGAGTGCTGGGGATAAAAGAGCGGCAGAGCTTTCACTCAGCGCTGGATGATTGACGTCTACCGGTAGTCTTTCTGGCCACCTCCTGTTGTCACTTGTTGCCTAAGATTTATCCTTTGAGCCTACCTGAACTTTCTTGGTTTCTGTGTTTGCCGCCTCTAGGTTTTTTTCAAGAAGGATCAGTTTTTTTGTTCTCCCCTCCCGTGGATCCACCCGCAAGTACCATCTCCACTCCGTTCCAACAATCTCCTGGCTCTCTGTCTCCTCCCTCCTCGCACTCGCCTCTGGAGCCACCGTCACCACTCCCCACACAGGATCCTGGGCACCTTTCTCCCATGCCTCATCAAACCACCCTGAAGTAAGCCGTTTCCAATTACATCTCCAATCAACTCATTCCAGGCCATCTATAACCCAACTCTGATTCCAGGCATCCCTGATCGTGTGATTCTAACCCTCCCCAGTGAAGTCAAGAAACCTGTTATTGTTTTGTTCTGTTGACAATAAACCTAGTCCCTTTACCTAAAAACATGTAGATTCTGCATGTGGGTCAGAAGATTAAATCCAAAACATGCCACTTTGAATGTAATAATTTGTGTTTTTTTTTGTTTTTTTTGTTTTGTTTCATATTAACCCCATTACTGAAAAGGCATGTTATTCTACAAAAAAAAAAGTTATATGCATTTGCATTTTTTACAACTAAAAACAAACAGTATTAATCAATATGTTATATCAATTATCACTTAAGGTTGGGGGTCTACATTAAAAACAATTTTCTGTATTTAAAATTTGTGAGAGAATGTTTAAACTGAATACTGCAAAAGAGACAAACAAAAATGGGACTACACTTCAGAGTCTCTTTTCTTCACTGTAAATGAGCTTTGGGAAACTTCTGAATACAGTTTTAATTTTTGTTTGTTGACTTTATTTTTTTATTTTTCCTTTTCTGCATCACAGTGTCCAACAACCCATCCAAATAAAAACTGAATGACTGCATTAAAAGAAAAGGAAGGATTTGGACTGCATAATCGAGAACTAAATCAGATCAAAAATGTGTGGGTTCACTGGATGGACAAAAGACATTCTTATATTCAGCAAACAGAGAAGTGCCGATTAGAACGAGGCAGCTGTTAATGTCAGCTCAATATCTGGAAGCATTGTTAACACAGACTGAATAGCTTTGCTAAAACTACAGGCAAACTACAATACTAAAACAGTGCAGAAAATCAACATTCTTGTTCACAATTTCTCTCTTTCTCTTTGCTGATTGGTCCGGTCAAAAAATGACCAAAGAGAATCCAGGTCAATTAAAGACACTGTGCTGGAAGGAAGACCTTTTTTCAAGGGTAATTGCA